TCATCCAATTCTCTGACAACCTTCCTACCCTTTGATCATTATAAGGTGGGAAAGGTGGCCCTGATGGTCACATTGTCACACTCATATACTTTCTTATGGGATCCTAAACATGGGCCCTTTCTAACCATGCCTGCAAATGATTAGTTGGGAGACACACATCCTGGGACTAACCAGTAACCTCCATCACTTTCCCAAATGCTTCTTCTTTCTTTTTTACTTTTCTTATATTCCCTCACTCTTTCTTGTTTGCTCTTCCTTCCTTTCTTTCTTTATCTTCCTTTCTTCCATTTTCTTTCCTTTTTTCTTTTCCTTTTCATCTCTCTTTTTCATCTCTTCTCATTTGGTCCTACCCGTGCAATGAAGGAGGAGGTATTTATTCCCATTGGCGACTTATATAAAAATAAAATAAAGGAAGAAATTGTTGCTTATCTTCAATGAACAGAACCACAAGGTTAGAACTCAAAGCTACTTTCATGTTGACAGCACTAAGAAAGTTACCGCATAAAAGCCCATGAGATGAAATTAATTCCACACTGCAAATTAAGATCAACAACTACTTTCATGCTGAAAACACAGCTTTATGTCAAATGTTCTTCCATACAAAGTTGATAAGATTAGGGATAGATATCAAAACCATGATATTTTACTGATGAACAGCAGCATAATCCTTAGGATTAATGAAACTCCAGATCACAACTCTAATATATTTTCACTAAGCACGAGTAACTCATGTGGTGAGGATTTACAGTTCAATCAAAATATCTTCTCTGCATCTACTTGCGAACATAATACTCAAACACCCATGTGATTAGCAAAAGCAGCCCAGTCCAGGAGGGTTGCCAACAGTAGGCAAAAACGTGGCATATCTAAACAAATGAACATGGAAAGGTTTCATTATGACGGATGTTGTAGACATTTGGGATCAAAGGCTTTTAAGTAAGTAGGAAGTTTTAAGTTGGGAGCAATTGTAAAAAAGTCCTTAGACTCAATAGCCTTTCTTAGCCACAAAATGGATACAAGAAAGACCAAGATTTTGTGCCACTTGCCCTCAGGTAAAAAGACCTATTAGTATAAATGAGGTGGATATAAGCTTTCAGTGTTAGCAAGAACTGGAAGGAGAATGCGGTTCATCTCTCCTCAGTCATAGAAAATCATATAATCTGGTCCTACCATATTAATTCAGTGGAACCAGGCCTTATACCTTCTTTCAGAGATTTCTTTTCAGAAATCTTAGTTTTGAAAATGTACCTGCAACTTTACCTACAGGTATAACACAGAACTTTCCAGGTAACAAATATGGAAACTAACATTTGTCACTCCATTATTTATTCCATGGATGGTTGCCTACTCATTATGGTATGGCTACAGTACATGAGCCAAAGGACTCCGATGCCCAAATTAAACAAGTGACTTTTCCCTTTCTGCTCCCCTTGAAAGAACATTAAAGTCCCTCCTCCCTCCAGGAGGATAAGGCAAAGTAATGCATCTGGGTATTTGCTATTTTGGGGCTAGAGAGGGACAATCAATAGAGCAACACAAAATGTACTCTCCAAAAGCCTCAAGGTAGTACAGTTCCTCTGGCTATGTCCTGAAAAATCCAAGGCAGAGAAAGCACACACTTGCTTAAGATGTAAAAGGAGTAGAGCTGCTGCTCAGAGTCCAGCCAGCCAGCCTCTCAGGTACTCAGCAGGCACACAGGGAGGATGGGAAGCAACCACCATATTTGAACACAAGGACCAAAGGTAGGAGCCCAGGATGGAACAAAAGAAAAAGCCTGGGAGAATAAGAAAAAGAAATACATTTTTTTTTTCACAGAAAGAGATACGGTGTCAAGAAGCACGGAGACAACTGAAAAAGAAAATACGGCAACCTTGCTGTCCAGCATTTCAATGCTCTGTGCTGGGTATCTATTTTCATGCTTCTTTCTTCTTCCTTTGTAGATGCCCTGGGCCCAGTGGCAGGTCCTGTCCCTGTTGGCAGGTTCTTAGTCTTTCAACAGCCAAAACTAAGAGTACCTGCCTTGCACCTAGCACCAAATTAGAATGAACGATGTAGAGGTGACTTATACAGAATGTCTTTGCCTCACCACAGTTGGACTTATGCCTTTTGAACTTTAAGAATATATGAACATCATTTGCATTCAACTGAAATCATACTTTGAATTTTGAATCCTGATCTTTTCCTGGGTTAGGAAATTACAGTAGGGTGCTCTCTTATGTTGCCAGGCAGAAGTAGTGGGCCACAGCTCCCAGTCAACACTGAGATCACAAGAGAAACAGCAGACACACTACAGTCCACTGTGTGGTTTGGCTAGGATGTCTGGCAGGTTGAGTACATTAAATTCATTTTGGGTGTATGACATTTTCAATTCATGATGGCTTTCTCCAGATTTAACCCCATCCTAAGTGAAGGAGTATCTCTACAGGTTCTCTGCTCAGTAAACAAAGGCCCATTGAGAAAGCTAGATAAAACCCACTTCATCTATTTCATCATGAGCACCATGAGCTGGGGATGTTGCCAACATCAGAGGAAAAGCCCATGACCCTCAAAAGCACTGGACAGTCCACACCCTTCCTCACAGGAACTTCCCCCACCCAGGAGATAAACTTGCTATTGCACAACTGAAACAGAACCATTGACTCAAAGATTATCTCCACCTAGAAATCAGTAGGAGGACACCATGCAGCCTACCAGTCCATCATACTTTTCACATGAAGGAGGTAAGTACATCCATCCTTCCCAAAGAGATGTCCAGGTGAAGCATGTCATGGCTGGTTTCCTAAAGGAACCACGGACAGGAAGTATATCTGGAGGGCAACCCAGACCTAATCACTTCACACCATATTAGGTGATATCTCGATTGCTATATTTCGTATTTTGTTTTCTCAAGGTTTTAGACATTGTTTATACTCTTAAGTAATTTTGCTCTCAGGTCTCTTGTCTTTTATTCTATTTCTTTTCTTGTTAGGGACTTAGAAGTGCAAAGCAGGTGGCTTTTTCAGAAAACTTCCTAAGTATATAGATTTGTTCATTCTTGCCTTGCATGAGTACGGCTGATAGCCAACAGAGGATTTCCTTGTGTGTGAATGATATCCCCTAAATGCAGTTTTAGGAAGCAGTAGTTGACCCCTAAATTTCCATAGGTCCTTTGCTATTTACCCACTCAGCATTTCCTAGCAACCTAACAGGAACTGCTTATCATTTTTCATCACAAAAGAGATAAGATTCACCAGGTGAGTTCTCCCTTTCTCTTATTTGTGAGGTTGAGCAAGTGGCCAAGATAATATTAGATTATCATCCTATATATAACAATCAAGAGGATCAGAACACCAGGCAAGATTTAAAGTAGAGCAGTCTCTCAAGCAAAAATAAAAGATAGGTGATGTGTTCTTCCTTGGCACATCTTTATACCGTGAGCAATGAACAGATAAATAGCCTTCTACAATGCAAAATGTTCTGCAATTGCTTTAAGAAATTTTGACTTTTTGGTTATTTATTTATTTATTTTGGTACCAAGGATCAAACTCAGCACCTTAAGCTTGCGAGGCTGGCAGTGGCACCACTGAGCTAAATCCCCAGTCCTTGACTTATTTTGAAAGATTATTATTCTAATTTTTTTTCTCTCCTTGAGTTTATTGGTACATTTTAGATATACAGTACAGTTACACTCATTGGGATCTTGCACCTTTACATGACAGGTCTTGGTTCTCATTTTTTCCCCTTGTCCCTGCCCTCCCTTCACCCCACCTCCTCCCCTCCCCATTTACAAACACTTTATTTCCATTTTTTTCATTTTCTCATATATTTTTCCCTTATTACTTTTCCCCTACCCTTTGCACTTTCCCTACACCTTTAGCCCTGAAAGGTTATTTTTAAAAAGAGAAAGTGAAGAAAATTTTTCATATTCGAAGACCCTCTTGGCACTACTCATTGGGAAATGCTGAGTGTCTTACACAATTCTTTCAATAGTCTCCATCCCAAGCAGTCAAAAACACTAAAGACTGCCTCGATTAATACTGAATGAAATCCAGGTCAGTGTCCACTTTCCACCCTTTGGGGAGTCTCTCAAGTAATTACAACAGCTGCAAAACAACATGAGGAGGCATATGTGGCTCCAACGAGGACGACCAGGACAAGAACTCAGTTTCCAGAACCATTCCTGAAGTCCATAATGTAAATCTACAGCATGAGCCAACTAACTTGCTCTACTACTTAATGACTGCCCCTCTCAGTAAATTTCAGATGCCATCCAAAGAAACATTCTCAACTGTCATAACCAGATCTCTGTCAAGCTATCCAGAAAATGCAATTCAATTTCAGGAAAGATTACTACATAACCAAGAAGAAAAATAAGACACAAGCCCAATTTTTCAAGAAATTAATGATGGCAATATCATACCCAAGTGTGAGGAGCTAAATGATGTTAACAGTAATGGGCTGTTTCTACTCTTAAATAGTTGAGTACAATTTGTTACTCTAAAAACAGTAGCAAATTGCAGCAAACTCTAAAATTTTAATATATGTTGCATTGAAATGACAAAGCTCTTTGCTATAGAATTTAACATAAGCTCACCTTGTCTTTCAAAATTATAAATGAAAATCTTAAAAGTCACTTACCTATACAGAACTATATTTTGAAGACACACCTATGGCCAATAACTAAGTAAGAAAGAAGATAAGGTAGACTGTGACATGCTGGATATTTAGGCACCATTACACCATGTAGCCAAGAAGGGAATAGTTCCAGGGCTCAAACTACACTTATGTACAAATTAGCTATAACTTTTCAGTGAGGAAGTGGCATCCCCTCAAAAGATCAACTGTTCTATCTCTAGCCTCTGTTCTGCAAGGCGTTCCTGCTACAATTTAAGAAGAACCTAAATAAATACAATAAGTAAATCCTATAATGTATTTCTAGCCACCAAAAACATACAGATAACATCCTAAGAAAGTGTACACATAGTGCCTGGAGGTATAGCTTAATGGTAAGATATACTTACCACATGCAAATTCTTGCATTCAATTCTCAGCAGTTAATCAATCAGTCAATGAAGTTTGCATGTATACATACATGCTGGAAGGGAAAGAAAAATTAAATTAAATTAATAAATAAATTAAAGACGGCAAATGGCAAGTCACATACACAAGTTAAGGTTATTCTGGAAGCAAGTGCTCCTAAAACCTCTTGAAGCAGACTGAGCACCAGGCCCCTCTTATGGTAAAGAAGCCAAAGAGGAGACTTTGGCAGCTTGCTAAGGCTCTTGAAAGTTGCTGAAACAACTTCAGGTCATTCCTGCCCCCCAGCTCCAGAAGACAAGAAATGAAAAACTCCAGAGCTCCTCAAAACACAAGAAAACAAAGCAACACAGAATTGGCAGAATAAACAACATCTTCAAATACCAAACATTTAGAATGCTACTATATAGGAAATATTTCATCTAATAAAATATGGGACTAAAAATGAACAAACAAAAAAGGTTTAAAAAAAGAAAACAGGGTGCTGCTGCACCTGCCTGGCAAGCACAAGGTCCTGAGTTCGATTCCCAATATCGAAAAGAAAGAAAGGATTTACAAACTAAATAAACACTCATACACTATAAAATCATTGAAATTAAAAACAATGTATGGGTTTAACCACAGATTTATATAACTGAAGAGATTACTGACCTATTAAGACTTATGAAGAAAGGGAATCACAACGCAGTAAAGTGAGATAGAGATGGAAAATGTTAAAAGGTTATTAAGCAGCACAGAAAGTAGACTAGAAATGTTCAGTACAAGTCTAATAGCAGACCTAGAAGGGAAGAACAAGGTAGAGAAGAAACGTGGTGTCCTAGTGACACCCAGTGGGTCGATGTCTGCTCAGGTTGACTGGGGAGGTGGAAGACTGCTGACTCCAAGAGCCAGAGAAACCAGGAAACTCCCTAGGTGACAATCAGATAAAAGCTAATTATTCAGCCAAAACATCACCATGCCTTGCTTGCCTGCCTTGCTACCTAAAACAAACACTGCTGCACTCAGCAAAACTCTACGCCCTTGTGGTTCCTCAGTAAAGTTGGGGGTTTGAGTCAGTTCCAGGATTCACTCCATTTCAGTGAAGTTCCCTGCCCTCCCCAAAGATTTTCTAGGGCTCTTGTTCTATAAGGGTTTGCTGGCCTAAAGCCAGCAAAGAAAGGCAATTTTGAGACATATTACCCAAGATTTTTCTAGAATAAGAGACACCAATCTAAAGATGTAGAAAACACTCTATCTCCAGCAGAAGAAATAAAAAGTATTCTACATTTAGACACATTGACGAAGTACTACAGAATACCAAAGGCTATTAGAATGTTATAAAAGCAGCCAGAAAGGGGTCAACAATAAGACTGACAGCAGGTTTCTTAACAGCAAGAACTGAAGTCAGAGACAATAGTTCTCCTCAAAGGAAAAAAAGAACTAAAATATTCAATGAGGCTACTTTTTAAAGAATGAGGATGAAATATCAAGTTTACTAACACCAGAACCTCACTAAAGAAATTTCTAAAGAGCATAATTTAGGAAGAAGGAAAATTAATCCCAAAAGCCTGAAACATAAAAGGAAAGGAAAGTCGGTAAATATAAAGGTAACTTTAGGTAGGTATTTTCAACTGTCACTATAAAATAATGAAACTAGCATGTACACTGTGGTGGCAAGAGAAATTGGAACTTAACTATTAGACAATATCAGGTAATTTTAAAAAGGATTATCAGAATTAAAAAAACTCCAGAGTACTGGTGTCATTTGGAAAAAGGGTTATGGTGCTGACCTACTTAACTCACAATGGAGAACAGGGTGTCATGGCCTTAATCACCTGGACTGGAAAAGACGTCCTCTCCACCTCCCTCCCATCCTAACTCACCCAAGCTTCCCCTCACCTGTTGTTATGGGGTGTAGAAAAGCTGACTTTTTTCCTAACAAGATGAAATTTCCGGAGGGATCCCATGGCCCCTGAAGGCAGGGTGGCTTCCTGAAGGAGGAAGAGAGGATCTGTGCAAAGAAAATTCTTCCAGGAGGAAAGTCAGTATTTTGGCAGCGGAAATCTTCAGCTGTGTCTAGAAAGTAATCTACTTATCCTAACTCTTGGGCCAGGTATGGCTTTGTTTATGCAGGGCTTTGCTGGGGCTAGGCATTGTTTGACTTTAGCAAACAGGCTTAGAGATTAGTGATTTATAGAGTTACTGCATGCACTGCTAGGCAAGGACATGTTTGCATTCCTGATTTTTGCCAATGGAGAGGTTTTGGGTGGAGAGGATGAGTTGATGAGAAAAGTTTCTATTTGGCTGGGAAAGCCCAGTTTACTCCTGAAACCTTCCTGAAGGATGCAGTCTGAACATGTGAATGCACAGCAATTTCTTCCTAGCAAGACAATAGTTCAAAAGCTTCCTTGACTTAACTGTTGGTATTGAGCTCTAGGACAATGCTCAAAGCAGCTTCTTGCGGCCATGTCTTCATCACTTTTACTGACAACCTGAACAAAAGGGTTGACTTGGGTAGAGGGAGGTGAGAAAGTTGGGGAAGAGTAACACTGTAACTGGAATTCTAACTTGTGAGGTCCAGGTTCCTTTTTACCTGAAGAAAACCAGAAGATCAATTGGCAAGAGAGAAAATGCCCATTACATTTCTGAGCCGGGTCCAAATTATTTATGAACTATGCATTTATTGGGTTATCTCTTTCTCTGGTGAACCCCAGTAGAGGAATAAGTGAGACTACTGATTTATAATTGATCTTCAGAAGCACAAGATATGATGCTAACTCTTGTGGTTCACTAAGAACAAAAGGTGTAGGCTGTTGAAGATATCAGGTTAGTACAGCATGCACACCTGTTCATGGTATCCTATTATCCTCCTAACATAATGTACTTTATAACTCCTTCATAAAAAAAAAAAAAGACTCATGCATTTAAGGCCCCAAATGCCATTATCTGGTTTCTCAAATGCATATACTGCCAAGAGTATTGGTATAAATTATCTGCTAAATAATGAAAATAATGTTCACTGCTCAGCAGAAATTTGTTGCTGATAATTACAAGGAACTTTTTCCCACATCCAATGAGAATTACATATTGTTATTCTCCAAGTATTATATTCATAAGCCATATTAGAGGGGCTGTGAAGAATTAAAGATTATTCTTTAATATTCTCAAAAATGGAGTAAATATTTCAGAAAAATCAGTCAACAAATATGTATGAGTTCACCGTGCTACTTGGTTATGGCAGAAAGAGGAAGACCGTGGATTCCATAGGCAAGTGCCCATAACTAGAAAAGTACAGAACAGATGAGTCAGTGGGGACTTGTTGGTTAATACTATATTGGTATTTCCTAAATATGTTGTTATGGTTTATGCCCTCAAACACTCCAAGGTGGGGCTTTTGGGAGTGACTGGTCACCAGTATACGATAACTGGTTCAGTCCACTGCTTGGATTACCATAGTTCTGGATGGGGCTGAATGGATTTAATAAAGACAGAAGTCCTTCCCTGGGTGTGAGTGGCATCAATCAACAGGCTTATAGCCTGAATGGAATAAAAAGGAAAAGGGAGGCTCACTGCTACTTCTTTTTTCTATCTGCCCTGCAAGGACAGTTTCTCTCTGTCATGCCACTCTGCTCAAGACCCAGCCCACTATGGAATGAAACATCTGTGAGATGTAGGAAACCAGGTAATGGTGTTTGGGGCCATAAATGCATAGATCTGTTCTTTATGTAGGAGTTATAAAACATATTATATAAGGGAAGAGCATACACTACTATGAACAGGTATGCAAGAGCAAGTAACTTGGTATCCTCAACCAGGGTACACCTTTTGTCCTTAGCAACCCACAAAATAAACCTTTCCTCCTTTTACTTGTGGGTGTCAGGTATTTTGTCCCAGCAACAAGGAAGTAACTAAGTCATATGTGTTACTTGATCAACCAAAACCTCATGAATTTTTGGAGTGAAGACTCATAAAGTCTTTTTAGAGCTTTAAAAAAAAGTTATTTTTCCTGGCCTGCCACACAAGCACAAGGGTCCTGAGTTTGATCCCCCGTACTAGAAAAAATAATTTTTTTAATTTAAAAATTTTAAAAACTTATTTTATCTCCCCCCTCTTCCTTTCCATAAATCAGCACTTGTAGTCCAAGATCTGCACTTGAGATTCTGCAACATGCACCCTGTCGTCATTGTTATTGGGATGGGTTTTTTTTGTTTGCTTGCTTGCTACTCATTTGCCCTCTGTGTCCAACATGAATCCCTAAATTCACTGTCTGTTCTGCTCTGGGCCCCAGAAGATGAGCCCTGAGGACAATATTAACCAGCTGCCTGTGTAAGGAGACTTATAGTTGGCACTGGCAGGAGATGGAGGGAAGGAAAAGGGAGATCAGGGTGTTCCATCCTACTCCCCACATGCCTCATCTCAGCATCTCTGGTGCAGGCTGTACTCCTGCACTCCAGAGAGGTCCTCCAAAATATTCTGTCCTCCCCTTGTCTATCCAGCCCAGGGCTGGCCATGACATTCCATTGTTGTAGTTCTTTGTTCTTTAACAATGCACACACTTCTGTGGGGACAACCTTTATTGACCTCTTCATCTGAGCCAGTGGGGTGAATTCTGTATCCTTCTGGAACAATTACTAATATAATCACGAAATTTGGTCAGGCAAATCAGCTGTGTGAACTCCTACATTCTCGATTAGACTCTCAAAATTTAACAGCATAAAAAAGAGGAAAAAAACATTCACCATCTATTAGGAAAAACAATCCATAAAGATAAAACACATACATGATAAAAGTAGCGTTGGTCCTCTACATCCACTCCTGAAAATTTTATTCTGAGAAAACAATACCTTAGAAATGAAAATTTTTTCTCATGAAATTTATTACATTATCATCTATAGCAGAGGAAATTGTAGAAACAACATAAATGTCCAGCAGAAAGAGAACAGTTACATTGTGACATATCAACTTGATGAATTATGAGGCGAAAATATTACTGTTAAAACTTTGTGGAAGCAAAAAAGTTTATTTTAATAATGACAAATAAAACATTTTAACATGCATCAGAATTTTAGTTATATAAAA